TCATTTCATTTCAAGGGTAGTTAATGCCATCTTGGATAGCTAATCCAAGTTTATTTCAGGACAGGCAGCATTAGTGCCACACTCAACAGCATGAGCAGATATCTCTGCAATGATTCTACTCCAGCCCTGAAAGAGAAGAAAGGCAGACAGAAAGCCATTGGTGGAAGAATAGCCTCTTGGATTCAAATTCTTCTGCACTGTAACTGGAAGTAACTGGAAGACTCTCAAAGAAGAGGGTTAGAAAGAGAACAGCACGAGAGTCTGAGATAAATACTTACGGTCTGGGCTCCTAGGTCTGCTTTTTTTCAACTGTATGACTTTGAAAAAATTACATGTTGAGTCTCATCCCTTATCTTTAGAGTATATTATAATTCTGCTTAACCCTGGTACAAATGAGATAATCAATAAAGCACCCATCACAATGACTGACACATAGTAAGTACTCAAAAAATGTTGCATAAAAATAATAATCACGAGTCATTAAAAATTGATGTTACTTTCATTAAAGAACTAGTATCTTAGTTCGGGTTTTGTTTTGTTTTGTTTTGGATTTTTTGTAGACAGGGTTTCACCTGTTGCCCAGGCTGGAGTGCAGTGGCACAATTACAGCTCACTGCAGCCTCAAACTCCTGGGCTCGAGCGATCCTCCCACCTCAGCCTACCAAGTAGCTGGTATTACAGGCACACATCACCATATCTGGCTCATTTTGTTGTTACTGTTGTAGAGACCAAGGTCTTACTATGTTGTCCAGGCTGGTCTCGAACTCCTGGCCTCAAGTAATCCCCCTGCCTCAGTCTCCCAAATTACTGATACTACAGGCATGAGCCACTGCCCCTAGCTTATCTTAGTATAACATAGTGATCAAAAGCTTCAGAGCCCTGGGTTCAAATTCTACTGGTGCCTTTTAGGACCTCTGTGGTCTTGAGAAAAGTATTTAACTTCTATAGGCCACATAATTCCCATCCATTAATTGAAGAGAGTTATATCTACTTCATAGGATTATTGTGCAGATTAAATGAGATCATGCATATAAAATGTTTGGCATAAGGTTTAGCACATAGTATTGTATAACGTTTTTGAAGTAGAATTTGCTAGAAGTGGAGGTATTAAAGTAGAAACAAACAGCAAAGAGTAGAATATTTTGAGAGACTTGTTAACCAGCCACAAAAGTAGGCTATGCCAGATTGTGGTATCTGGTCCCAAGAAACATCAGGGAGGGGAAACGGCAAGGAAGAGGTTGGGATAGATAACATTGTCCATTGAGCGCCCTAATTGGGAAGAAGAGAGTAATCAGAAAGTGCACAATCCCTAAATGTTTCTCCATATGGGAGGGAAGAGAGACTGGAGGACAGTAACGGCATTCCAATCCAGTGGATTCAGTGACCTTTATTCTTCCTTTGGCCTGGCTCTTAAAATAACAGAAAATGGCAGATTCTCATAGGTATTATAGAAGTCATTTTTAAAACATATTTTAACATTTCTCTCATTTGTAACGTTGACATTGTTTTAGTTCATTTTGTGTTGCTCTAAAAGAAGATCTGAGATAGGGTAATTTTTTTTTTTTAATAGGTTTATTTAGCCCACAGTCCTAGAAGCTGAGAAGTTCAAGATTTAGCAGCCACATCTGGTGGCTTCTGATGAGGGCCTCATGCTGCCTCAAACATGGCAGAGAAATGGAAGGGGAACCAGGTGCATGGAAAAAAGAGCAAGACACATGTGGCAACCTCAATTTATAACAACGTGCTCTTGAGGGAAGTAATCCATTCCCAGGACAACTAACCCCCCATCTCCAGAGAAAGACATTAATGTATCTTAAAGACCTAATCACCTCTTTAAGGCACCACCTCCCAACACTGCCACATTGGGAACCAAGCCTCAATACAGTTTTTGGTAGAAGCAAATCATATTCAAACCATAGCAACTGCGTTTTTTGATCTAAAAACTCCCCAGATTTCCCTCTGGTCGCCATATAAAACATACCCTCATCAGTCCTTGAAAGCTTTCCCAACTCCAGGTTATTAAATGTTGAGTGAAACTAGGAATGTCTTTGTCTTACAAAAGTTGTGAGATTGTTTTTAAAAGAATAGGTAAACTGCTAATTACCTTCCTTGGACATCTGTCTCATTCCGTTCCCCAAAATTTAAGACACGGTAAAGCTCACTTGGAAATTCCAATTTTAATGATTCTCTAATTTGCAGAGACCTTATTCCCTTCATCTTAGCACTGGACAATTGTATATATGCATATGAGAGGTGACAACGTACTGGCAGCCGTCGCTCGCTCTCAGCGCCTCCTCCACCTCCGCGTCCGCTCTGGCCACGCTTGAGGACCCCTTCAGCCCGCCGCTGCACTGTGGGAGCACCTCTCCCGGCTGGCTGTGGCCTGAGCCGGCTCCCTCTGCTTGCGGCGAGGTGTGTAGGGAGAGGCGCAGGCAGCAACCAGGGCTGCGCATGACGCTCGCGCGCTAGCGCGAGTTCCGGGTAGGCCCTGGCTCGGCGGGCCCCGCACTCTGAGGGGCCGGCGGGCGCTGCCGGCCCCGGGCAGTGAGGGGCTTAGCACCCGGACCAGCAGCTGCGGAGGGTGCGCCGGGTTCCCCAGGACTGCTGGCCCGCCCGCACCGCCCTCGAATTCTCAATGGGCCTCAGCCACCTCCTGGCGGGGCAGGACCTGCAGCCCGCCATGCCCGAGCCCCCTTATCCCGGCTGTGAGCTCCCGTGCCCACCCGAGCCTCCCCGACAGGCGCCGCCCTCTGCTCCGTGGTGCCCGGTCCCATTGACCGCCCAAGGGCTGAGGAGTGCAGGTGTCCGGACTGGCAGGCAACTCTGCCCACGGCCCTGGTGCGGGATCCATTAGGTGAAGCCAGCCCGGCTTCTGAGTCTAGTGGGGACTTGGAGACCTTTATGTCTAGCCTAGGGATTGTAAATACACCAAACAGCACCCTGTGTCTAGCTCAAGGTTTGTAAATACACCAATCAGTACTCTGTATCTAGCTAATCTAGTGGGGACTTGGAGAACTTTTCTGTCTAGCACTCTGTGTCTAGCTAAAGGATTGTAAACACACCAATCATAATTCAGTGTCTAGCTCAGGGATTGTAAACGCACCAATCAGCACTCTGTCAAAACGGACCAATCAGCTCTCTGTAAAATGGACCAATCAGCAGGATGTGGGTGGGGTCAGATAAGGGAACAAAAGCAGGCTGCCCAACCCAGCAGTGGCAACTTGCTCAGGTCCCCTTCCACACTGTAGAAGCTGTGTTCTTTTGCTCCTTACAATAAATCTTTCTGCTGCTTACTCTTTGGGTCCATGTCATCTTCATGAGCTGTAACACTCACCGCAGAGGTCTGCAGCTTCACTCCTGAAGCCAGCAAGACCACGAACCCACCAGAAGGAATAAACTCTGAACACATCCAAACATCAGAAGGAACAACTCCAGATGCGCCACCTTTAAGAGCTGTAACACTCACCTCCACAGTCTGTGGCTTCATTTTTGGAGTCAGCAAGACCAAGAACCCACGAATTCTGGACACACATATACTTTGTGATAAGATATTAGAACTCTAGAACTGCTGCATATGGGGGCATTCAATAAAGTGGGACAAATTTCGCACACACAAGTGCAGACACACATACACATTAAGTTTGGTCTGAAAGACAAAAAATTTCCATTTGCTTCTGAAAAAAAGATACCTTTAGCTAACTAGAGACCCTCTTGTATGCTTAGAAATGAAGATACTAATTGATGAGAGAGGGGTTTTTCAAAATCAAATGTCTCCAACTGCTAAAGAAACTGAAAAGACCACATTTCAGTGTTAAACAAATAACCTGAAAGACTCCCTTGAAATCTAAACAAACAGCATTCAATGGAGAAAAATAAGTGTTTTTATAATAACTCTAGTGTATGCCTGTCTGGTCACCATTATGAATACCTAGACACTCCATTGAAAAACCTGCTTTTGGAAATCCTAAATGGCGTGCAAACAAGGAATTTGTCAAACTTCAATTTAAGTTTATAAAAGTGATTCTAATTTCTTTAATTTTTTTTCTTTTCAAATGAAATTGTTTAATCTCTGACAACTTCATTCCTTAGTTTACAAGTGAATAATCTGAGACTAAGAAGATATCCCGGGATAGGGTTGCCAGATTGAGCAAATAAAAATACATATTCAAATCATGTATGAGACATATGCATACAAAACAGTTATTGATTGTTTATCTAAAATTCAAATTTAGCTAGGCATTCTGTATTTTATCTGGACCTACCCCTAGGTCCTCCACCTAATGAATGGGAAAGCTGATGACAGAACCCGATGCCCTGACCAACAGCCTGGAAAACTACTAGCAATGAATAGATTCCCCTTTCTGATGCAAATGCATTCACAATTATCCCTTGAAAATTAGATGCTGTGGAAAACCAAATGCTATATAAGGTGAACCCTTCCCTCAGGAAGCCTAGAGTCTAATGGCAATTTCTAGTGAATCTGGAAGAGAAGAGAGACTGTCTGTAACCATCTTAGCAAACTGCTAACCAAGAAAATGGTTCTCTCTCCTGGTCACACATTAAAATCACTTTGGGAGCTTTAAAAATAATTATCAGTGCCTGGAACAGTGGCTCACGCCTGTAATCTCATCACTTTGGGAGGCCTGGGCAGGGGGATCACTTGAGGCTGGCTAACATGGTGAAACCCCATCTCTACTGAAAATACAAAAAAATCAGCCACACATGGTGTCATGCACCTGTAATCCCAGCTACTCAGGACACTGAGGCAAGAGAATCACTTGAGCCCAGGTGGTGGAGGTTGCAGTGAGTTGAGATCATGCCACTGCTCTCCAGCCTGGGTGACAGAGTGAGACTCTGTATTAAAAAAAAAAAAAAAAAAAAAAAATTATCAGTGCCCTGAAATCCTGACATTATGATTGAATTGGTCTGGGATAGGGTCTGGGAAAATGGTTTTTTGTTTTTTTTTTTTGTTTGTTTGTTTGTTTTTTTTTTTTTGCCAAAATATTCCCAGATTATTCTAGTGTGCAACCTGGTTAGCATAATGAACCACTAGTCTCAGACTCAGAAATCTCCCCCAAGAAATCTTGATTCACAAATGGCTGGGTCTGTGCTAAAGTAGGCCGTGTGTGTGTGTGTGTGTGTGCGCGTGTGTGTGTGTTTTCCCAAAGCCCCATACTTGCTGTATCCCATGGAGGTGTTCCAGTTGGCCACTTGGGCCTTCCAGTAAGACTTATTGAAGGGACAGCATTTTGCTGGAATTCACTTTATCCCCATTCTGCCCTTGGTTCCTAGTCATTTCTTAGCCAGTGCATTTTGTAGCCTGTGTCTTGAAAAGTTCATTGTAAGTATACAGATCACATACCCCTTAAAAGACAATAGAGAAGAGATCATTCCATCTAACCATGCAGTCTGCTCAGGATACCTACCTGGGGTCAGACATGCAGCCTCTGGTCCAGAGTCAAACGTGTGGGTTCAGTGTTGTCTGAATATCTTCCCACTGGTAGAACCCACTAAATAAAAGCCCCTTTCAGTCTTATGACTTCCCATGAAGAGATAAATAAGGATGTGCTCTGGGTATTTTTATTATCGTCATTATATTTGTTGTCCTGGTCAGAGAGGGGTCAAAAAGCCACAACAACATTTTCCTCTGCCCAGCTATTATTGTCTTCCAAAAGACACAGTAGCACATGCTCAAGAGCAGGATTTCTCAACACAATCTAAGAAGACAAGAAAAAGAAGCTAAGTCTCCTCTGTCCTGGCCCATGGCCCTCAGCTTCTCACTGCTGACATCATTTATGAGGAAGGCAAGTTCATTGCCTTGTTTTGCTGTATCTGTTCTCAAATTATGCCATCTTTCAACACCAGCCTAACTTAACATTTTTAAATCATTCTGACCACTATATGCTATCCAAAGTCCAAAGTAAATGGTATCTAACCTCCAACTCTGAAGACACACGTGGCTGTGGCCAAGCTTACTTTCAAAGACTCAGTATTGTATACTATCACGTGCTCAGGCCATTTTTACATCATTGTTAATCCTTTCATTCCAGAATCCATCTGGGATCAATTCAGCCTATGATAACAACACTGTTCTCTTTTGGGACACTCATCCAACACTGGTTTTCTTAGTTTAACACTCAAGAGCTTCCACTTCTCCAAAAGTGTTAAGTTGAAAAAATCTGGTACAAATAAAGAACAAGATCAAACGGCCAATTGTATCTACCTAGAAATAATGAGAGGGCACTTTCTAAAAAATACGTAAAAGTACTAAATGAGTGCTCAATACCACTAATACCTGGAAACCTTAGGCTCAAGATAAGTCAAACAAATTCCAAATGCATCTAATTCATGTTAAATGTTTCCTGTCTCAGTGACCAACAGGCCATGTTAAAACCAGTCCAACTCCTTTTGAAAGTCTCATTCTTTTCCCCACATGAAGGGCAATGTAAGGATTCTGATCAGTGATGTAAGATTGCTAATTCTTATTGGGTAATTTTTCCCCATTAGTCAGAGATCAGCCTTGCCGACTGGGAGGCCTCACATGCTTTGCTGCCATCAGGAGCTAGCTGTCAAACTCCAGGGCTAATGGAAATGTATTCTAAAAGCCAAATTCCACCCTTCACTTGCATGGTGACAGTTCCTAACCAGGTGAGACAGCTTCGACCCCATCCCGAAGTCTGAGACCTTCAGTCTTTCTTTGTCATCGCCTTCTTCTCATGTCATTGTCAGCAAATCCCCTTTGACAACCCTCTCTCTGTTTCCTTGGAAAATGCCCAAATGCTCCCAAGAGAGGAAGCATTATCTTTCTAAATCTTAATTTAATTGGAAAAGAGAGAGCTGAGATTTTTAAATTCAGGGCAGAGGCAGACTCATTCATTACCACTTCAAGGTCCAGGATTTGGGCTGATGAGCAAATAGATCTATCATATTGGGAGGTGTTCTGTACCTTCCTCTGTTATGACTAATTCCCGCAGCCAAAAATATACATTCAGGAATAAACAGGCTGGTTCTATCCAGTGTCTTCTCAACTGATAGTCTGTAACTGGTATGATAGTTAAATCCACGTGGAGAAGGATGCAGATTCATTTGCCAGACACAACCAAGACAGGGCCAACACCAGCAGGGGCTTCTAGAACGAGAATGAAGTTTCCCTGCTTCAGATTAGAAGAAACTCAATTGGAGGCCCAGTCATGTGGCTTATACAAGTGTCTAACAACATACATAAAATCCCAGAGAGCTGTGTATCTAAGCAAGCCAACTCTAGTTCACAAGCAGCAATGCAGAACCCCTTTCTTCCTCTGCCCCGTGGCAAAAAGTAAGTCTGTTCCATTTGTTTATAACCATTGCTGTTACTTTCCAGCATAACCATAATCTTATTTTGTAAATCCTATTCCTGACACACCTCAAACCATCTGCCCATTCTTTCTTGGGTTAGCTTGGGGCTGTTTGGCAAATGTCTGTCATTACCTGTAAATGGAATATTTTTTAGCAGAGTACATGCCCCTTGTAAAGGCATGTTGCCATGGCTGCTAGGTGCTCTGAAAAATCTCCTTTGTTTTTTTCCTTGAAATACGATATGCCTTTAGTAATTTTTAATATGTGTAGAATTAAGAAGAGACAAAGAGGCATAAATGCAACCTATTAGGCTTCAGATTCAAAATAAGTTTGCACACACACTCTCAGTCAAATACAAGGAATTGGCTAAAATGTTATTAATAAAAGTATATGTGTCAGTTTGAAGGAAGAGAAGATTTAGCCTATGTTTCAGATTCAGACTTGCAAACAGTTTTGAGGGGAACAAGTGATATAGTCTGAGCTGTAGAACTTCCACCATTTCTTGTCCCCGTGGAGTGGGACCAGGGTTCTCAGCAAGTCACTACAATTTGTCTCTGTTTCATTATTTTGCCATCTTCTCCTTATTTAAACTACAAGGGGCTGAGAAAGACCCAGAACCCCAAACTGGATTAAGGATATGTGATAGGCAATTCACAGAGCACAGATACAAATGGACAAAGGAGAGAAAAAAGTCTCGCCTCATTAATAATCAAGAAAATAATGGAATAAAATAATGAGATCACTGTTAGCCTCTAAAATGGCAAAGACTAAAAACAATGAAAATATGTAGTGAAGGTGTGGGGAAATGTTCACTCTTAAGCACTGCTGGAGAAAGCAGAAATTCATACAACTCTCCTGGAGTCACTTTGGTAGTATCTTGCAAAATTTTTCTAGTACCTACCTTTTGCTACACTTCATGTACACACATACACACACACACGCACGTGAATTTAAAAATTATTTATAGCAGCATTACTTGTAAAAGCAAAAAATTAGAATTAGCCTATCAAAAGAGAAATGGTTACATAAACTCTGGTTTATCTACCCAATGGACTATTACACTGCCATTAAAAAGAATGAGACAATTCAACATCTTCCGATATGAAAAGACTGACATATTGACAATTAAGATAACAACTTACAGAATATTAATATGTTCCAACTTATGGAAAAACAATGACTTACCTAGATCTATAACAAAATGTGAAAAGGAGACTCTTTTTCAGCTTTGTCTAAGACCCCAGAAGACCCAGAACAAAGCAAGAGGCAATTAGTGGTCTCGCATTCTAAAATGAGTTTCTAGACCACCTAGACAGGACTTGAAAAGGAGACAGCTGCAACCATTAGCCTATCACTCGCCTCAAGGCTGTAAAATGACTGAAACTGGAAATGCTGAGAGAATTTCTTTGGAATGATTTTTCGGGGTGTGGTGGTGTTTCCACATTTACCTCTTTCTAAGTAAAAGAAGTTTCAAGGAGATCTCCCTGAATGCTGGAGTCTGCCGAGTATAGACTGGCACTTAATTCAAGACCAAAGATCGTCTACTAGCAAAAGGCTGCAAATTGCGTGTGGAGGCCCAGGCACTGAGAGAGCTGCAGTGCAGCAGACTGCACGCCTCCCAGCAGCAGTAGCCAGAGTGCATCAGTCTTGCCCTTAGGCCATATGCAAGGGAGCCAGCCAGGATGGTCTAATTTAAAAGGGCCCCCCCTGTAGAGAGGTTGACAACACTCCACCCACAACCTTCCTATCTCTTGATCACATTCACACACACACACCTACTGGGTGGAGGGCCAGCTTTTCCTCTCCCCAGCCAGCACCTGCATCTGTCAGCCGCTGCCCACGAACTGCCGGAACCCACTAGGTGCACCAAGAGTAAGAGTGCCTGGGGTGATGGGTGGGACTTGAAGGGACTGGAGGAGTTGTTATTCTACATGATTGTCCAAGAGAGTGAGAACGAATCTGCATATTATATTTATAGAGACAGCAAGGGAAACTGTTTTCTACCTGTACTGTATGGAGTCTCACTCTTTCAATATAATGTTAACAATTATACAGAGAAAACAGAGAAAAGGTCTGGAAATTTACATGCAAACCAATTATGGTCTCTAGAAAGCAGAATGTGGTTAGAGGATAAATAAAAAGAACTTATGCATTTTACTCTATATACTTCTATATAGTTTGATTTTTTAAAAAAAACAAATATGTACTCATCTTTTTTGTAAACAAAAACTTAAAATACACACACATATACACACATACACTCACTGCATAAAAATTCAGAAAAGTAAGAAAAAGAAAACAAACAGATCATAAATGTAATTCCACTCCTCCCAGATCTCACCTCTGTTAGTATTTGATGAGTTTTTATTCACATCTTTTTTATGTAATTTGCTTGGAGCAGACAGGGCCTCACTGGGCATCACCAACAGTCAAGTTAAACAACCAAGAACTTCAAGGACTGTTTACTGCTGCCACTCATATATTCCGTGGGTATTTTGACCATATGAAAATCTAGGTATATGAACAAAGAAAACCAATTTGATACTTATGAGTCGTCTCCCTTAGCTTAAAATGTTCATAATTAAGATGGAGATAAAAATTATCACTGTGACATTTTATGCACTGGCTCTGGACAGTAGCAAGGTAGAGGACTAGAAGATTAAGATGTACTGATCCCCTTATGAAATCACAAATGCATCTTCTTCATCCGGAAATGAGTACTTTAGTCAAACTTAACAATACTTACCAAGTCTGTCCAGAAAGCTCGTTTGAGCCTCAAACAACCTAAATGGAAATTCAGGAGAAGACTTTATCTCCTGTCTGAGATTTACACAAAAATCAAATCTGTTACAGACTCATCTAAAAAACACGGATACACGACTTGAGACCTTTAACAAATGGAGTGCCTGCTACACACGTGGAAATTAACTCCTTCTTTGTTTTCAGTTTCCTGGGAACCGCGGAGAAATTCTGGTTTCTAAACCTTGAGGCAGCATGAACAATGAACAATTGTTAGCTAGAAATAGCAGATGAAGCCTATTACTACACAACGGAAAGTAGACTGCACTGTCTTAAGGTTGTGTTTATTATACAGGCCTGGTGGGTAAAATGATACGGTAGAGAGTGAGTGTCCTGCTCAATAGAAACCTCTGAGAAACCCTCCACTCCAAGGGAAGCATCCAGCTTCTTTCTGTTTTTCCTCTTGTTGAGTATAGGCTTGGATAATTGTATGTAATTTCCCAAGTCTGCCTTCATGAATGAAACTTCTTACCAATTTCTACCAAAACCCTCTACCAAATCAAATAAAGATAAGGTCAACAGAAAGCCAATATCATGCAAATATGCAGTAAAGGTCTTCATTTTTTTTTTCATTTGAGTGGCAAACCAAAGATCTTGAAAAGGTAACAATTCCATGATCCAGCAAAATAGCAACAGAACACAAAAATTTTCCCTTGGGTTAGAATATGAAAACTTTTTTCGAGAGTAAATTCAATTGAGCTGAAATTGTAAAACCTGGAATGGCAAAGTGTATTTTTTTTTAGCCAAATTTGTTGGAAGCCAGTCATACACAGAAAATAAACCCAAACTCAAACTAGTACTGAAGTCCAGCTTCCTTTTAGCATTTTTTTTAAAAAGAAGAAAGAAAGAAAGAAAAATAAACTTTCTAAACTTGAAAATGCAGCCTTTAGAACAAGGTTCCAAGGGTTACTTGGATGTTAGTTGATGCTTACAAACTAATGCTAACGAGTGGAATCAAAACCAGATAGATTCCATTTCCCTTCAAGTAAATGGAGGTTGGGGATGGGGAGGTGGTGGGAATGCTTCCCAAAATGTAGGTGAATTTTACCAAAAATGACGGTGTTCTGCATAAAAACTAGAGAAATATCATCTGAACTTCAACTAGGGCTGGGTTTCAAAGAGGTGACACGAAGAGGGAGAACTGACACCCAGGAGCTCCCTTCTGTGCCAGGCCATGAGCTTCAGGAACACTGGTTTCACCCTCACAGTAAACGGCATGGCAGGCAGGTGTTCTCCCCCGACTTCAGAGATGAGAAAATGCATTTGAGTCCCCTTCTCTAGGTCATTCAGCCAGGGAGTGACCCTGAAGGGCATCTGCATTAGGAAACAGTGCTGTCTCACCTCCTGTGCTCTTGTTCCATGAGAATCATTGATTACTTCAGCAAGGATGATGTAATGGTACTTTAAGAAGGCCATTTTGGAGCATTCTACCAATGCAATGCTAGTCTTGTCAAGGCCAACACCTGTGCTGACTTAGCTAGTGCCTGTGGGAGAACTAGGTAAGGAGAGGTAGACAGTTGTCATATTTTTTGTTTTTGTTTTTGTTTTGTTTTGTTTTAGAGACAGAGGTCTTGCTTTGTTACCCAGGCTGGAGTGCAGTGGCACGATCATAGCTCACTGCAGCCTCAAACTCCTGAGCTCAAGTGATCCTCCCACCTCAGCCTCCCAAGTAGCTGGGACTACAGTGCACACCACAATGCCTGATTAATTTTTACATTTTTTTTGTACAGACAGGGTCTTGCTGTGTTGCCCAGAATGGTCTCAAACTCCTGGCTTCAGGCAATTCTCCTGTCTCAGTCTCCCAAAGTGCTGGGTTTACAGGTATGAGCCACTGAGCCCAGCGGGAGTCTTATCTTGATTTAACTTAGGGTCACCTTGAATCCATGTCATAAATCCAAGTTACTCAACTGTGGAGCAGGCCTGTGCTTCACCTGCATTACCTAACTCCTTTAATCCTCAAAATGACTATGGGTTTTATAGCATTTTTATCCCTATTTTATGTCTAAGAAAACAGGCTTGGAAAGGCTAAGGAAGAGGCAGAGCCGGGATTCTCACCGAGCCTGCCTGACCCCTCCGACTCCAGATCATGTGCTCTTACTCACTTCATGAAACTAAAAGGTCAATAACTCTAGAAATTAAGCAGCAGTGGCTTTTCAAGGTATGTGGCTATCACTGATCGCAGCTTCCTACACATGTATTCATTTATCCAACAGGTATTGATTAAGAGATTACAATCTGTAAAACTGAAGGGTTATAAAGAGATCAAAAATGTTCAAGTTCTTGTCCTTAGCCTCAAGCCATGCACAGCCCAGACTTACTAAGTTCTGGATTTTCCCCTGGTCTTCTGGCCACTGTCCTTTATCTTTTCAACTCACTTGTTATTACACCAGTTTCTTTCTTTCGGACATGTCCAAATTGCTGGTTTAGATAAGTTTGTCCCTGAGACTAGTGAACTTCATCAAGAGATAAATGAATGGAGAGACAGCTTTAAACCAAGGGCCTCTGGCATTCATAGAATATCAGAACTTGAAGGGATCTGACAGATGGAGCCTGTATCAGTCAGAGTAGTCTAACTGCTGTAACAAACAAGCCCAAAAGTTTACTTCTTGCTCTCACAAAATTCAAGGGGTATGTTTCTGGCTGGGCCTCTCTCACGCCAGTGGTGACACATGGGGATCCAGGCTCCTCCCCTGCTGTGGCTCCACCATCTCAACAAAGGGTTTCAGGATGCCCCAGACTGCATCCATACAGCAGACAGAAGGCAGAGAGAAACTTCAGAGCAGGCTCACTTACTTCTAACTGTCTCCTCCCATTCCATCAGCAAGAGTTAGTCACAGAGTCACCTTCACACCAGGGCCTGGGAGGTCTGTATGCAGGTTACCAGAAAGAATAAGTCGGTTTAGTGAGCCTGTGGCCCATAAAACCACCGTGCAGGTGAGGAAACTGCCACAAAGTGCCTACGTGAATCAACCAGTGTCACATAGGAGCAGATTCCATACTCCACTGCAGCACTCTTTGCCTACAACATTGTTGCTTCCTAAAAAGGCATGTCCTGTTTTTATTTCTTATATGATACTTACTATATAAATTTTAAAAATACAGAAAAGCTTAAAGAAAATAAGTTTGTGCTATACTTTTCCAATATAGTTGCTGTTTATATTTTGGTGCCCGCTAGCCTCTTCCACGTGTGTATCCTTATTATATATCACACAGACAAATTTTAATTATAAAATGTTGCAAACATACAGAAAGCAGTATAAAAGAAACCTAGGGATGCACCACTCAGATTTAACAAATCTTAACATTTTACCACATTTGCTTAGTTCTCTCCTATAGAAATAAAATGGATCCAGCTGAAACCCATCTAGTTCTTTCTCATTCCTAAAGGAAATGAAGAAATATATATACATATAGTAAAAGTACAGAAACATTCACAGGATCTATACACACCAGCTTTAGGATAGCACTTCTTCATTTCCTTTAGGAATGAGAAGAATTAGATGGGTTTATCATATTATTTATATAATATGATATATAGAGAGAGAAAGAAATGTTTTTGTACTTTTACTATATATAGAGAGAGAGAGAGAGGAGAGAGAGAGAGAGAGAAGGAGAGAGAGAGACAGAGAGAGAGACAGAGAGAGACAGTCTCACTCTGTTGCTCAGGCTGGAGTGCAGTGGCGTAATCTTGGCTCACTGCAACCCCCACCTCCTGGGTTGCAGAGATTCTCCTGTCTCAGTCACCTGAGTAGCTGGGCTTACAGGCGTGGGCCACCCTGCCTGGCTACTTTTTTTGTATTTTTAGTAGAGACGGGGTTTTGCCATGTTGGCCAGGCTGGTCTCAAACTCCTGGCCTCAAGTGATCTGCCCACCTCGGCCTCCCAAAGTGCTGGGATTACAGGCATGAGCCACTGCACCTGGCCTTTACTATACAATTAGATTCATAAAATGTATATTACTTTTGTACATTTTAGATTTTTGCATAAGTGATACAATGCCATGTATATCCTTTTGTACCTTGCTTTTTTTAGTCAGCATTATGTTTTAAGACTTACCCATGTTGATCCATGGAGATTATTTTCATTCAGTTGAACTAGATGTAGTATTCCATTGAATGACTAAGCCATGGTTTATTACTCATTCTTCTCATATATAGTTAGCTTGTCTCCATTTTTCCCTTCACGGTAGTTTTAAAAAACAAAATTAGCCTCAAATTATACATACAGATTTGCTGCCTGCTTTTTTCATGTAACAAAACCTAAGCCTAGTAGTCACATATATTCTTGGAGAATATTATTTTTAACATCTGTATAGTGCCCTCTTACACGAACATACCAAAGTTTATTTAACCAATTCCCTGTAGTGGAACATTCAGGTATTTTCCAATAATGTGCTATATAAATTATACTCCCACAACCATCATTTTATGTGCACTTTTGGCATATTGACAAACAGAGAAAACTAAGGAGTGCCTGTCGAGAGGGCAAGTGCTACTACGGCGGCAAAACAGCCCTGTTCTGTCTGGCGCTGCACTTTCTGGGGCAGATCCTGCCGATTCCACTTACTAACCGTGTGACTTTGGACAAACTTAACTTATTTGTGTTTCTATAAAATGAGATTGATAAGAGTAGTTTCCTTAAATCCCATACCAGGTGGAGTTGTAGACTTTCTGCTTTATTGTTTCTTTGAATTCCCTTGTAGGCAAGCAAGGGAAATCCTGCACCTGAGGCTCAAACGTGCTTACCTAAAGCAAAGTGCCACTCGGAGGACAAAGAGTCATGAGATTTGAACCACTCCAGAACAGTGCCCAGTGCATGGCAAGTATTCAGGAAATTAGGTTCAACACACACACACACACACACACACACACATATATATAGTGAATACGCATTTGCACACATGCATACATGCACTCATGCACGCACACTCACGTGCACACACACATCTATACCTCTATGATAATTTTGGCTATGTGATACAGTACTATTATGCTTTTGTTCTATCCCAACTTTTTCTTATTGATAAAGCTAACTAATCTTCTCCCAGTGTTTTTTTTCCATCTGGCACATCTTCCTTTTGCCGGCAATCCCTTCTTCGACCCCCCAGCAAGCCTTCACTACCTGACACGTTATACACTCAGAAAATGCCACCAAAGCCCATAACTCACATAATGAAATTCTCTGACTCCCTCTTTTCATTTCAACCAAGTGGTCTGTCTATCCAAATATTTTCTCCCCCAGAGTCCTCCTCTCTGTCTTATGAATGGTGTCCCACTTCCCAGCTGACATCAAACCTGTGCAGATTACCTTTTCAAGCAAATGTAAATAAACAATAAAGCACAAAACAAAGAAGTCCACTTGATTTTTTTAGTTCTTCTAGAAATGGCCCAATAAAACTTCACTGGCCACAGGAGACTTCCCCTAATTCAACTAAACAAATACTCTTCCTTCTTCTCTTAAGAATGCCATTGGGAAGTCTAATGGGGTTTGAAAAACTATTTAGAGCTCTGCACTGGTAAGGAAGATAAAAGGAAGCCACGGATGAGCAGTGAAGCAGTCAGGCTCGGAGCCCTGCCCTCACCTCTCAGATCAGCGTGTTCCAAAATCTGATGAGATTCATAAATTCACAAGGTATTACTTACCGCACAATTTGCCACGACAATTTCCAAATGGCTTAGGGCGATCATGACACCTTTAGTCTCAGAGTGCCAGGAGAATACTTGAAAGGCCCTACATTGATGAAAACCATCATAGTTAGAGCTATTTTCATATTATCAAATGTGGTTTTAATTAACCTCAAAAAATAAAAGAAAGAGGTTTCTAGAAAAGACAATACATACACCACCCCCCCAACACACACACACCTACCTCTATGTGATAAACCTGGCTGAAAAGGGGATTAGGTCCCACGCCTCATTTCATCAAGAAAATTAGCATCTTTTAGTCTCTCCGGAATGTATTTGTTTTCCTTAGACGCAAGCTCAGTTACACTCTTCCAACTCCTTAGTATTAATTCCTTTTCTTATTTCAGCCTGACCAGAACAAATTCTGTCCTGAAGCATCTTAGCAATAAAATCCAAATGTGGTTTTGCCCTCGGGCCTACAACAACTGGTGTCACTCCTATGAGACCATGTCTAGACTTTTAGGGAAAGTTAGGAAAGATGTCATCCTAGATTGGCTATTGTGTTTTTTGAATTTTGGGAAGCTAGATCACTCCCCTGCACATTTTTATACCTGTGGGAGTCTCAGATCTGGACTCAAAATTGAGGGGATATGGGAATACGGTAGATATAAATCTTGTCTACTTCATCATCATGTCATCCAAGCTCATGTTTTCTTCACAAGAATGCCTTTAAGAACTCAGAACATTATAATCTTAGGTAGATGCCTATTTATATCTTTGCTACATACCTTCCTTTTCCAAGGTTGGGTTTTTTTGTTTGTTTGTTTGTTTGTTCATTCGTTTAATCTAGGAGATTAGTAGATAGTGTTTTATTTGAGGGTGGTTAGCATTGATTGAACCATACTCTATGGCTTTGTCTTGACAATTCACTCTCAACCATTCCTTTATCAAAGAAAGGAAAGATAAGAATAGAAGAGATAGAGGAGAAGGAGGGGGAAGGAGAATAGAAAGGAAGAAGGGAAAGGAAAAAGGTAGGAAAGAAGGAAGGAAGATGGAAGGAAGGGAGGAGAGAAGGAAGGGAAGGGAGGAGGGAGGGAGGGAGGGAGAAACAAAGGGTGAATGGGCATCATTGGCCATAGTATCTGAAGGAAAATAATGTATGGGGTAGAAAGGCTTCAATTTTTATTCCAGAAAGGCTTCAAACTCTCAGTACATTCTTTTTAGAGGTATAGACGCACAAAGTTACACCACCCTTCAGGCATGAAACAACCATCCCACTCAAATACAAGGCTTGCAGAAATGGTAATGAACACAAAGAGCACCACAGAGCTCCTTAGAAGTGTTAGTGTTGCTTAACATTTTATTTATTATTTATTTATTTATTTTCGAGACAGTCTCACTCTGCCACCCAGGCTGGAGTGCAGTAGCACCATCTAGGCTCACTGCAACCTCTGCCTCCCAGGCTCAAGCGATTCTCCTGCCTCAGCCTCCTGAGAGCTGGGATTACAGGTGTGCACCACCATGCCCAGCTAATTTTTGAATTTTTAGTAGAGACAGGGTATCGCCATGTTGGCCAGGCTGGTCTCCAACTCCTGACCTCAAGTGATCTGCCCGCCTCGGCCTTCCAAAGTGCTTAACATTTTAAATTAATGCAGACTTACATTTCTAGGCTTCTCTTAATATTGCAAGTTTTGCTGATACCCAAACAAAATGAACTTCCCTCAAGTGGAATTGAATTTGCCTCATGGTAACTGTTGCACAGAGCCTAACTTGTTAGGAGGTAGAATAAAAGAACACTTTTTGTGAAAAAGGAACACAAGCCCGGGAGTCAAATGGGCCCAGTTCTGCCTACAACTGACAGTGTCTACCCTGGACAAGCCATTTAACCCCTTCAGAGCCCATTCCCTCCTCTGTAAAATTACTCATTAAAATGAGTACTCACTTGGGTTAGATCTATGTTGAGTATCCTCCTGGTAGTGCAGCCTTATAAACAGTCCCAGAAGGACCTGTCTTGCCATGTTGTAATTCAGCCTTGCTATACCAGGATGCGGGGATGGATGGGAGTAGGGAGGCAGGGTTGGATAGAATGAGAGAAATAAAGGAGTCTCGAGCATTTCCACCGTTAGCATCATTCCCACACTCTGACTTCTGGGAACTGCCACATTTTTAGCACCCTGTTATTTGGAGGGACACAAGATAGGAAGGTGCCACAATAAGACATTTTCTTATTCTGAACCCTCATCTAGCTCCCCCAACAGAGTTGGGGGTGGAATGGCAGAGGCAGCAAAGGTCACACTGCTAGGAGTGGACTGAGCATTAGAAAGAGAGGACACATCCACAAATGCAGCAGGAGCCCATCTTGGTGCATGTGTCCCTCACTGCATGGGAAGGCATGCACATTCAAACAGCAGCTACACAAAGCACAGTTTTGCAAAATCACTCTTCAGCCATCTATGAGAGATGTGAATCCTGCTCTAAGCATCATAAAAAGGTTGCATTAAATGTCTGCTGTTGATTTCCTTTATGAGCTTGGTTTCTGCCCAACAGGTCAAGTAAGGCAGGACCAGCAGAAATTATGAGAGCAAAAGAGGAGTGGAGCCCATATTCACAGAGAATGTACTCCAAAATGCAAATGACTGGCCAGGCACCATGGCTCACGCCTGTAATCCAAGCACTTCGGGAGACCAAGGCGGGCAGATCACTTGAGGTCAGGAGTTCGTGACCAGCCAGGCTAACATGGTGAAACCCTGTCTCTACTGAAAATACAAAAATTAGCCAGACGTAGTGGTGGGTGCCTGTAATCCCAGCTACTAGGGAGGCTGAGGCAGGAGAATCACTTGAACTCAGGAACTGGAGGTTGCAGTGAGCCGAAATAGCCCCATTGCACTCCAGCCTGGGCAACAAGAGCGAAACTCCATCTCCAAAAAAGAAAAAAAAACGCAAATGACAAACAAAGGGCTTGGTTCTTAGGACAATGGTTAAAGAACAGCAAAGAATATGCTCAAATAGATTGGAAGGCGGTTGCTAGCTAAATCACACAAGGCGGCAGAACATTTGCTGTAGAAACAGTAAATATTGCAGTCAGCCAAGAGACGATATCTGACTCACAGGCAAATAACGACGTATAAAAATTGTCTTTTTTTCTTATCAAAGATTTTTTTCAAATTGACACATTGAATCTTTTCTTTTGGCTGACAAAGCCAAAAGGCAACTGACACCCAAAGGGAAGAAACAACCAGGGAGAAAGCCAAGTTTCTAAAAATTAAGACATTTCTTCCATTTCTCTCCTAGTTAATACCTCAGGCTTCTCTATAAGGAGCAAAACTGCAAATGTACAATTGGCCTTCACTTTGCATGTTCATAGTCCCACAAGAACTAGCCGAGCCTGCAGAAAGTCTTGTCAGAACATTGTCAGGCCCTGAAAGGGCCTGCAAAAAGCTTAGTAAATGGAGACATTTGGGCGAGCCCCCAGATCTGGGAAGTCAGGCTTATGAATGGTCAAAACAGTCAAAGTTTCCTATTGCAAGTTCCTAGGTAGTCGTTAGTGGTGGAAATCCTGAGTAGTTTGATGGTGTCATCCCTATTTTCCAGACCAAGAGGTGAGGATAGAAGTTGACTAAGGAAGGTATCCAACCATCACCTGCAGTATCAGGGAGTGCCGGAATCGGGCCTCAGTGTTGTCTCCCACAACCACTCCCACCAGCCTGCTCCCTGTCAAGGCTCCTAGACACTCGCTCAAGATTCCAGAAACTACTCCGGCTTCACTCGACGTAGACTCACCTCCACCATCTGTCCCTGCTTCCTCCTGCCCCACACTAGGAGACTCACCAGGAAGGTCTCTTCTACTCCCATCTCTAAGAGAATGGCAAGGATTGAAGCGCTTGCAAATCCTCCAAGAGTTCCTTAAATTTTCAAGGTACTATTTTAACCACCTCCTCCATCCCTTAAAGCCTGAAGAATTGGACAGGTAGGCAGGGAAGCTGTTTGGCGCAGGGATGGAAGAGTCACTTGGTCGCTTCCTCTTCCTCTTGCCTCCCAAGAAGTAACGGAGTAGTAACACAACTCTCTCCTCTTTGCCACCCCAGCCAGCAGGCAGGTATGGCCAAGAACCAGAAAATTCTCCATTCTGGAGACTGTCCCCACCTCTCCCCAGGTGCCAGTGGAACATTTGCTGGGGGAAGAGCAACTGAAGCTGTTTGTTGTTGTTTTTTAATAGTCGAGACAGATTTATACTCATTTTACACTTGAATAGAATTTTTTAGGGAATAAATGATGATAATTGGGGGCTGAAATATTATTTGGGAGCTTGGATGACTGTCACTTGGCAAACTAAAGGCATTTGTGTCGGGCTCAGGAACACACACACTCTCCACCACTCCTTTCCTTAGCCACATGTGGTAGTTTTCACTTTTTACAACAACTCTTCATGGGAGAAGGACGAAAATTGCACTGAGCTTTTCTTACAACTTAATGAAGTTTCAGGAAAGAAATCTGAGCCTTGCTCTGGCGCTCTGATGCTGCATCTTTGTAAACAGTGTGGCAAGGGGCTTTGCAAGATTTATAGGAGACGGCATTGGCAGAGAAAACGTTAGCTCCTGCTCCGGCCCCATAAAGCTATGCTATTGGCTTTGTAAAGCTCTCTAAAAAATGAGATTCAAAACAAAAGTGAAATCAACACCATTCAGTCCACTGCTAGCCAGGGACCTCTAAAGTTTTATCAACTGGGGTTCACTTGCTTCCCAAAAGAAAAGAGTTTTGCCCCTGAAATAAAAGGCTTGTAAAATCTCTTACCTACAAGATGGTAGTGACACGAGGATTTTCAAATCAGGGCAAAATGATAGGAAAGAAATGGTCATTTTCTGTGTGTCAGAAGGTGAATGTGATACCAATGCCTATTGGGCAAAGACAGCCACACAAGTAAGCATACACAAGGAAGCTCTTCACGTATGGCTTGGGTTACCTAGAACCAAGTCATTAATAGGGGGTGGCCAGACTAATTATGAGATTGGAAAGGAAAGAAATGAGTAGGAGCAACATTCCTTGCGAGTAGGGTTTTGTGTAACAGAATATAAAGTCTTTATTGCAGACTTTATCACAGGGAAGGGAATGACTAATAATCAAACAACATCTCCCCGATCTTGAAATAAAAATTTCCAAATGTCTATCTCACAGGTCTTGCTCCTAGAGTCTCCTTTCTGTTCAGCCCAACATAAAACAGTTTTGCAGGTTAATGCGCCCGTTAAACCTCCACCGGCCAGGCCCTCCTTAGCAGTCCCTGCTGTAGGGGTTGTAAATAAGGAGCTGTGCATGGGATTTTGCTGAATAAAAGAGAGTTTGTGCTTCTAAAGTCACAACCAGACTTCCCCTCTCCCCATCAACCCCTTTAATTTAAAGTTGGCGGCTTGTCTCTTCACCTTGTCAAGTTTCAAATACTTTTCCTTTTCCTCTAACCATGATAGGGAAATATCAAGTTCGCTGCAGAGGAAGAAGTGCTTCAATTATGCATCTAAATGTACTTGTTGCACAAAAGAGCCCCGGTGCTGATTTGCCAAACTGCTTTGAGGGACAAACTTTGGCCCTCGCCACCCTGAGGACAAAAGCAGGCACACATAAATGCCGCGACAGCTCCTGGCATGGCCCCGGTCAGGCCACATATTCATGCCAAGAGTGTGGAATTTCCCTGTCACATAAAACCACAGCAGGGTCAAGAGGCAGATACACGAATCAAGGAGCAGAGCAGGAACTTTCAGTGTCTCCTCTCTAGCTTCAAAGATGGGGGAGACGAAGCAGTCCTTCTGGCAGGTTTCGATGGAATGAAATGTCCAAGCAAAGTAACTTCAGTCCGCCAGTGAATCTGCCAGCAGATCCACAAAGTGATAAATAATAAACAAATATGCACTGAATACATATTCTGTGCAAGGTACTAAGATAAGAACTTGTTAGGAGCATAGAGAAATGGAGCAGAGTTCTGC